CTTTTTTTTTTTTTTTTGGTCTTTTTTTCCTTTTTTCTATTTTTCTTTTTTGAGACAGGGTCTTGCTCCCATTGCACAGGCTTAAGGGCAGTGGCATGATCATGGCTCACTGCAGCTTCAACTTCCCAGGCTCAGGTGATCCTCCCACCTCAGCTTCCCAAGTAGCTGGGACTACAGGCGTGTGCCGCCACACCTGGCTAATTTTTTATATTTTTTATTAGAGACAGGGTTTCACCATTTTGCCCAGGCTGGTCTCAAACTCCTGGGCTCAAGTGATCTTCATGCCTCAGCCTCCCAGAGTGCTGGGATTACAGGCGTGAGCCACTGTACCTGGCCCTATAGCATCTATTTACACTAGGTCTGTCTCTTGGTCTTGAATGTTACCTTTAATGACCTCTCAGTCAGGGAGGTCAGGAAAATGAGATTTCTTTGTAGATATTAAAGAATATCACAGAAAGTACTTTTGGTATTGCAGGCCAAGTACATCATGGGTTAAAACGACTTTTACAGATTAGCCTGTGTAGCAGTGATAATGCTTATCATATTACTTCTCTAGAAATATTTTTTCAGAGTTCTGAACAACCTGTTTATAAGAAGACTTTAACAGCGTAGTCCGTGGGTTAATTGGGGAGATTTATGTTAGAGCAACCAGAAGCAAGGGTTAGCTTTGGCCACAGTAGCCAAAACAACTCTTGCGCCACCCCTCCCTCCTGCTCAGTGTGGCTCGTGTAGGTAGTTGTCTGGTTTCTAGCATCACGCTAGGCTTGGTAACACTGAGTTTCTGGTGGCCTGGAGGGTAACTTTCGGCCTTTGTGTGGAAGCTGTCACTTTGCACCTTAAATATCAGATTGTAATTTGGGGACTTCTTGAGATGATGTCCTTCAGTGATGCAGATATTCTGAAACAACTCCCTGCAGCAGTCCCAGGTACCAGAGATAGCCCTTCTTTTCTTTTTCTGGCAGCAGTAACCTTTGTGGTCTTTCTGGGCCATATCAAGCTTGGCTTGAGGCAACTCTGTTTCCTTCACTCAGAGAGCATTATATCACCTCCCATCACCTCATCCCTGGAATTCTCTTGACTTATTTTGCTGCTGTGACCTTTGAACCAGAGCCCAGGCTCAAGCTTTTGTTGGGTGGAGGTGAATGTGGACTCCCTTCTTCTTGTGCTAAATTCATCATCATAGGCATGGAGTAACTGAGCTTCAAGGGATCTTAAGTCTGTTGCATGTCAGTCAAGTGGACTGCCCTCTGTTTGTGTTAGATGAAGTATTGGGGGAAGTGTAGGGTCTGTGTTTTCACAGCTCCTTTGAGACTGCTAAAGGTATCCGGCCTGTACTGTGTGGTACAATGAGCTGTACTGACAATACACCTTCACAAAGAGCAAGTCTAGCACTGTGTCTTTCCATACAGTTGTTTTGATGTGTAGTGCATTTTGTAGCGTTTGGAGGGGAAATGTAGAAGAAGATACTAGTTTTGTTTTTTTTGGCCATATGCTTCAGTGTAAAATGATCCAGCACTTTCCAAAAGATATTTTTATTAGTAGTACTAAACTATTATCTGTATGCTCATGTTGATTAAATTGATTGACAAGCTTAATTTTCAATACATATACTTAGATCTTTCCTAGACAAAATGTAATATTAACTTTGATAATACTTTTTGTTTGATGTCATTTGAGAGCATTTTGACATCGTAAGTTGAGAACAGTTGCTCTGATAATAGATTATTTTCTTCTTTATCATTTTACCTATTTTATTAGTTTATTTTGTTTTTTAGTAGGTGCCAGCAAGTATTCTTTATTTGATTCTGATACTTTTCCCCTTTAAGAGTCTTATTGAACAAATACTTTTAGAGGACCTCGTATGTTTAGGGCACTGTTGTAGAACCGGTGAAAGGAAGGAGAGCCGGAGGTAAGTCGCAGTCTCTATTTGGGGAGCTTCCCTGGGTGAGTTTAGCTTTCTTTGTGTAGACCCCATGGGGATCCAGAATACTGGCCATAGTTTTTGAAAATGTAGAACAATTAGTAGATATTCAGAATTCAGAACTTAAATTATATATGCTTTCTACCATCTAGTTTAAACTTTTAAAAGATACTGTTAAATTTACACTTAAATTGCTTTAGTATGTCTTTATGATTTTAGCTCAAGTATGATAGAACGAAGATATGTTCTTTTCCCTTCACTGCTGTGTTCTGATCTTAATGTCAAGGGAAGATAGTAATATTGTGTTTGACACTAATACGTTTAGAAGATAATTTCTAGCCCCAGTTTATGATAGCTATGTACATTTATGAGGAAAATCTTTAGCACATGGCTTACATGGTGCAGAAATTAGTTTCAAATGACTTCATCTATGTTTAATATCTGATCATTATGTTAAGAAAAAAGGAGAAAAGCAAATGGAGACTCTCCCTCTCCCAGGCCATTTGACAATAACATAATTGGGAATGTGTCCTTGGCCTCTCTCCTCCTCCTCCCCGCAGAATGATGTAGGTCCTCTTTACTGTTAGTGAGATATACAGCAGACCTATTCATTCACTTCCAAGAAGTTCTCAAAACAGCAGACAGCTGTGAACACTTGATACGTGTTTGGCTTGGAATTCAGCGTGTGAACTTCTGCCTAGACGGTTTTTCCCCAGACCAGAGGGCTTTATTTCAGAACACAGTTGTGAAGTGAGGTGATGCTTCTTTACGGCGCGGCTAAACCTGCACCACTAACTGCGTGGATAGACAAGAGATGCACCATGGTAGTCGTGAGGGTCTGACTTTCTCCATAACTGGGAAGTTAAAATGGACAGTTTGGCAAGAAGGAAAGTTGCATATTTCTCATGTATTCTATAGCCATTTCCTTTTGTTTATCAACGTGAATGTTGAGAGTTGGACCTCAGTATGAATTTTAATTAGAATTGTAGTATAGCATTAATCTTACTATGGTAGCAAGACCAGTGTAATATGAATACACTTAAAAAAAACTTATACATTATAAAATGAATAATTGAAGCCATGCCAAGTCCATGATACTATGCATTCATGCCATTTTATCTTTTTTTAATTGCTTTTTTATTTTTGATATTTCAACTGATCGTTGATTACCTTTTCCTCCCTGGTTGTTTAAAGTTATCTTTTCTTCATTTTTCTTTAGCAGGAATCTATTTTATTAGCGTTTTGGGACAAGTGGCTACCTGAATATAGATTTTATTTTTGTTGTGAAAATTGGTTTCTTGCAGATATTCTTCAGTGAAATTAAAAAGTGCTTCATGCCGAAGGAGAAAACTGGTCAGGAGGAGTCCCTGCATAGTTTGATTTCCACTTAAATAAAGCCCTGCCTCAGTGCCTGTGCAGCTGTCTAACCGTTGGCTGCCGAGACAAATCTGCAAGCCTAGCTCTCCTTATGGAGTGGCGATAGTTGGGTGATTAATTGAAGATATGATTTTGTATTTGAGGACCCAAGCAGAAGAAAGTCTCACATTCTAATGGTGTTTGAAAGGTGTCCTCTTTTAACTATTTAAATTGGGAGAAAGAAATGCTGTAATTTGTCATCTAAATTAGAAAGTTAAACCTGTTTTATTCTTCTTAGCACAGTGCCTGGGATGTTGGGCATTTAAGTGTTTGTACAGTGAATGAATAAATGGACAGATGGGTGGATAAATAAATTTAGTTGATCTTTATTTAAAAAATATTTCATTCGAAAAGAAATGAATAGCAGATACCTTACATTAAATGTGAGGAGTAATAGCTCCCTTGTAGCTTTTGCATTTCCATTTCTTTGGGCAAATGACTGGGGTAAATGGATTATGATATGGGGCCGGGGTGAACCACCTCACTTTGTGGGTGTTATGGGAGGGATATTTAAAAAGGCAGAAGGAGAAAGAAACAAAATCTCATTTGTTTCCATGCATTTTACTGGTATCTTAGCGAGGTAGTTCAGACTTAAATCCTAGGCTGAAATTCCTGCCTTAATTTTTTTTTTTTTGAGTTGGTGTTTCGCTCTTGTTGCCCAGGCTGGAGTGCAGTGGCGTGATCTCGGCTCACTGCAGCCGCCACCTCCTGGGTTCAAGCGATTCTCCTGCCTCAGCCTCCCGAGTAGCTGGGATTACAGGCGCTCACCACCACGCCCAGCTAATTTTTGTATTTTTAGTAGAGACGGGGTTTCACTATGTTGGCCAGGCTGGTCATCTTAATTTTTTTTTTTTATTTATAGAACTGGCCTAAATACAGTGAGGCATTTCCATTCTGGTTTTTATCCTTCCATTAGCCTGAAGGGGTGATGGGGGCAGGAGGTCACATTTCACAGCGGAGTAGGGAGGTAGGGAAATGCAGTGCCGAGCCTTAGGACCAATCCTTAGCTTGTTAGCTGGCCTCATTAAGAGTTATGATTTTTAGGGAGAAGGGGAAGGACAGATTCTCTTGACTGTTTTGTTCATAGCGTGTTTTGGACCACATTAACCTGGCCCTTAAAACATTGCTTTGACTGAGTTACCCATGAATGTTAAGCTTTTATTCATGTTCGCTATAGGAAATAATTGTAAATCCTGTTTTTACATTTGTATGAGATTATTGTCTTTGTCCCTTCCACCTTCTGATGACTCTTCCGTAGTGCTTCATTGGTGACATTTCTTCAAAATTTAATACTGGGAAAAACATCTTTCCTGGCTAACTAGACAGTTTCCTCATTTCTGATGAGATTTGTGTAAGCTATCCTGAGTCTGTCTTTGCCCTGATCAAGAGTATACTTAGGGCCAAGGTTTTAATGCTTTGCGTTAACATTTTTGCTGTCTTCTTTTTCTTAACTCTATTTTTCCTCTTAAAAGTTATTATAAACAATCTTATTTTGTATGTGCTTTTAATTAGGTGCTTTACATTCTTCTTGGAAAGAGTCATGTTTCTAATAGATTCTTTAAAACAACAGTGCATGTTCATTATTAAGTACTTCCTTTGAATTTATGCTTATCGCTCCTGTAACCTTTTCCCACTAACCCTAGTTGATTTTTCTTTCTCGTTTAGTCCTGGATCAAGCTGAGTATCTCCACGTTTAGATGCATAAATACTATTTTGTTAAGATCTTACGTTTGTGGTATAAGAACTTGAAGGAAATAGAACTGATTTGTTATTTCTAAAAGGTAAGCTTTTGATAAGTGAATATGAATTCCCTCTAAGAACTAGATGATATAAATATTGCTGAACCCCAAACTAATGTTCATTATGTCCAGCTGTGATTCTAACCTTTGACTGAAATGTGGGTTAAGGGGACATTTGGATCATTATCTTTTTTCCTGCTACCCAGTGTCTACTCTTTGATTTGAGGTAATGTTATTTTCTGGGAAGAACGGCCACAAGATTTAAATCCTGTCATTAATTTTCTCATGTTATATTTGTGCACCTATAGGACATGGTAGTAGTCAAGAATCAAATGAATTTTCCCTGACACTTTTTATTCTTGTTAGTGTTATTGTAATAACACCTGTTTAAAGCAGGCATCTGGATCTTCCAGGAGCACAGATGCTTTCTTGATGAACCTCATGTCATGTTAACCCTTTCTCTGTCTAGAAATATTTTAATTATTTCATATACAGAACGTTATATTACGTGAAACTCTATGGGCCGGGCGCGGTGGCTCACACCAGTAATCCCAGTACTTTGGGAGGCCAAGGCGGGCGGGTCACTAGAGGTCAGGAGTTCGAGACCAGCCTGGCCAACATGGTGAAACCCCACCTCTAAAGATACAAACATTAGTTGGGCATGGTGGCACACACTTGTAGTCCCAGCTAATCGGGAGGCTGAGGCAGGAGAATCACTTGAATCCAGGAAGCAGAGGTTGCAATGAGCTGACATCCCACTACTGCACTCTAGCCTGGGTGACAGAGCAAGACTCTGTCTCAAAACAAACAAACAAAAAACCCCTATAAAGACCTGCATCTGTAAGAGCCTAGATACAGTGCTGCCACCATGACTCTATGGCTTCTTTTAGCCTCATTTTGCCAACTTGTAACTATTAATATCTTCCATAAATGGTTATTATTGTAATAAAAGGAAATCATTTTTAGAAATTTTGGAACACTATGTCTAGCTACATTCAATAGTAATTGAATCAGGATAATAAATGTTTCGAAGCCCCTGGTGGTAGTTCACTTATTTCCCACTCTGTGTAACAAAGTTCTTGTGTAAAACATAAGGTTTTGGCTTGTGCTCTGAATCTTAGCACTTTACAGCGGGCAGAGCACAGCATCCCCTTCATTCATCTTAGTTCCTTGGTTTCCTGTGTGCTGTTTCCTGCCTGAATTTGATTCAACTTTGGATCTGTGTGCTTGTCCTTACAGAATTATATGTGCAAGTGATACTACTATGTTCTTAAACTATCCTCTTTATTGGTGGAAGTACCAGTAAATAGAATCATTATATTCATTTACCTACCAGTCATCCTTCAGAACTAATTGAAGTGCAAGTTGGTCTCCTTTCACTAGGAAATAAACTGCCTCCAGCCTTCTGCTTCAGCAGGTCTGCTCCTTGTACCTCAGGCTCCTCTTCCACCCCAGCCAGCTTCAGCCTCTCTCTTGTATTGGCTGCTTGTGTTTTTCTTCACCCTCTCTGGGAGTCCCCTGGGGTATCCTCCTCTCCTTTGGCAGCTTATGTGGTTTCTGCGCTCACTTACTTCAGGGAATGGTTTCTAAACCACATCCAAAGTTAAAAGTGGTAGATTATGGACCCTCCTGTAAATGAGGCTGACCATATATTCTGGAAAACTCTCCTACTATGAGCCCTTAGAAATACTGCAAAAGATACAGCAAACATCCTTTAAAAGTCTTTATCAGAAGAAAGTGAGAGAAATCCATAGATAGGGAAAAAGAAAGAGGAGTGAGTGTTTGTGGGAGACAGAAGGTCTAAAACTGGAGTGGGAAGTGAGCCAGACAGAGACCAGGCTGAAAAACAAAAACATCCATCAGCAAATGGAGTTAAAAAGAAAAAGTCTCTTTTGAGACTGTTTGGCTTGGGGTTTGAATTAATGCTACCTGCATGGTCTGGAAAACCCCAAGCTGAGAAACGAATCTAAATGCTTCTGAGTTGGAAGAGCCCCGGGGTGCTTGGCAGAAAGAAATAAATGCAAATCCCTTCAGGAAGAATGCTACCCTCCACCCGCTGATGAAGAGCTGGGGATATGCTGACGACAGAAACATTGCTAGACGTATAAGGAAATGAGCCGCCATGAATGAGAGTCAGCTTAAAGTCAGTGATGACATGCCATCTACTTGATTCATTCATTCCTTGCTTTTTAGCTGACCACCCATTATATACTGAGTGCTGTTCTCAGTGCTGTGGTTATAATGGCAAAACATTCTGTGGGGAAATGGGTACTGAGCTGCTGACCAGAGGCTTTGGTACATTTGGCCTGCAGCCCTGCCCACTTCAGGGCTCTGAGTTAATGCTAGAAAACTGGTGCTTGACTGGTCCCAGTTTGAAAACTGCTGATTATGTTAATTCCTGTATTTTACAAATGAAAAAACTGAGACCACAGTGGTTAAATAACTTGCCCGAGGTAGGAGCCTCAGTTTCCTTGCCTGTGGAATGGGGATGATACCTACCTCACAGGGTTGCTGTGGCCATGAAAGGTTAACTGGCATGTTGTCTGCCTCAGATATTTCTATTCTTCCTTTGTCTTCGTCTTTAATGATCACAGATAGTACAGGGACCCAGTTCTCCTGCTTTTCAGGTTCAACACTTTTCTGTTGCTGGTATGATTCTCAAGGTCTTTGATTGTTCAAGCCTACACAGAGCTCCACGCCCTCACTCTTAGTTGTTCTCTGATTATTTCATGTATGTGAGTTTCCCTTTCCTAACAGATTGTGAACTGTTTACGTTCAGGGTCCAGAGTTTGTATTTTTATGTTAGCTTTATGTTATCTTTATCTAGTCTTGGACTGGTCTGATTTGTTGTTGTTGTTAAGCAACAATAAACAATTATTTATCAATAAACAATTATTATTTGTTTGTTGTTGCTTGATTAATCACAGTAGTTCCATTGTAATGAGGAAACAAGAATATTTCTGTCCAAAAAGTCATTATGCGAGCATGTTGGCAAAGCAAAACACTTTTGCTGGCCATTTATGATGTTGACATCTGTATTCTGCTGCTTCAGCCTCTGACTGATGATTGCTACCTGAATTCCTACTGCAGTTTGCCTTACAGTACAGGCCTGCTCATTCCTTCTGTGCCAGGCCTGTTTGTGAATGCTGTTCACCACCCTGAGATTCTCTCTGTATGTTGGAAATCATTGAATGAATAGCTCAAGCCGCTTCCATGTAGTTGTAAGCACATGTATTAGGATTGGAAGTGCATCCATTTGTATGGGCACGGGTCCATGGTTAGCTTTGTTTTCCTGTTGCCCTGCCCTGCCCTGATCTCTGGCCTAGATGGACAGTGTGGGCGTGCTCTCTGTGTCTTTCCTGTCCATCTGTTGGCCGAGGGTCAGGCACTTCTGCTTACCATCAGAACCAGGAAGGAATCACTTGGAATTCATCCCTCCCATAGAACCCAACTGTGGCTGGGCTATAGCCAGGGCTCTGTTCAGTTGCTGGCTGCATTTCAGCTCTCCATTTGAGTCCTTTCTATATGAAAAACATGAAAATGCCAGGGGATTATTTTTGCAAGTAAAAAAGATGGCAGCAGATGTGAAAACAGATTTACTCATCATGATGTAAATTGGTGTTTTGTTTTCATTTTAGTTTAACAATATATAGGTATTCATGAAAATATTTGGCTGTAAAAAATTAGGAAAATTACAAACTGCTGTTATCTGTTGCAGTTCATTCAATTCAGTTTTATTTGAAAGAACTTGAAATTGTAAGTTAAAAAATTTACTGAAATTTGTGCTAGTTAAGCTTTAAGAATTATAAGTAATAATGCAAAAGACATTTTAAAATTCAGATTTATCAAAATCAATTGTACCTTTCTTTGTACAGATAAAATAATTTTCTGGAATATGGAATGTGGTGGTAGAAGTAATGCAGACTTGTTTTACCACAGCCTTCATTTTCTCTGGCAATTATTTCTGCGTTTCTTCTGTTTTATAAAGGAAATGGCTTGTGTTTAGTAATTTCCTCTGTACCTGTAACCAAGAGAATAAACTTGTTATTACATCTAAACTTGTGTATTCTTGTATACATGCTGGACCAGAGACTAGTTAAAATGTTCTGTGTTACCATGGGTCTGTGAAAAGATCTTGTCTTACTGGTTTTGTATTCCTAGTAAATTTCAGTATGATGATATCACCTAAACACTGTAACTATGGGACATTGGCAGGAGCTTGGGGATATTTTTAGCTACTTGGAACTCTTATTGTAATGGTATTTATTAGTAATTCAAGACAAATTTTATTATATAATTATGCTCGATGGGTTTATTGCCATGCAAGACTGCAATGTTTTAGATGACTAGAATTTAGCTTTTTAAGAACTCCACATTTTTATTTCAGCTCTTTCAATGGAAAATTTTCTAAAATATGCAATTTCCTTCTTAATGAGAAGGTAATGAGCATAATAGGACTTGTAATTGCCCACCCAGGGTCATCTCTTTATTCTTTTGTGAGGACTCACAGTAATGCTTTTGGAAGGGGTCAGCATGTTGGGCTTCTTTCTACATTTAATGGTCATTTGTCAACAAATATTTACTGCGTTCTTTTCTAGGTCTGGAGATTCAGTGATGAAGGCATATTTCTTGCCCTTAGAAGGTTCACATTGTAGTAGGGAAGATAAACCAGGTAGTAAATCTTAGGACACAATGGGATGTTTACAGTGAAGAGGAGAGGCCAACCTGGAGTATATGGGTTTGAGATCCATGCAAATCTGGGTTCAAATTACAGGGTGAATGGAGTTGTGTTAAGCTCCATCTAGCACTTGCATGGCTAGACGTATGCATGTGTAGTGTTTATTTCTGTCATAGCAGTAAAAAGACTTCTCCTGTAGTTTATTGGCCTATAAAATAATATAATTTATGACATCATTGGAAAAGTGTATTCCTACGTGGGGTCATTTGTTTCTAGAGTAAAACAGTTTTAACACCATATACAAATAAAAGCACTTTTATTCAATTGAACATGCATTTGTTGAATACCTAATATACATGTACAT